AGTAACTTAGCTCTGGCGTGCAGAGATGGAACTTTGACACGCGCGCGAGCGCCTGCTCGAGTATTGGTTTCCAATTACCGGTAAAAGGGCTCGAAAATATCCTTGCGCTTGACAATTAAGATTTCAACCCCGTCCTATGTACGCGTGCACGATTGTGGGCTAATCGTTTGATACTGCGATCGTAATGAGCAACGACCAATATACAGTTCGAAGTAGCGCGGACATAGAGTAGTACCGGACACTATATCGCTCCATTAGCACGTACGTGGGTCAAAACAAAAAAAAAGACAAAGAAAACTCCAAGTCACCGCAGGAAGAAACCCATTTTTTTCGCGTGTATATACCAGCACGATACCGAGGTAAAGCACGTTTCGACGAAGTAAATTATGAGGTCCATGGACCCGCCGCCGTCTCCGACGTCGCGCGAGGATAAAAACGAGTATATACACGTATATACGGAGTCGAACCATACTCTGCGACTCTCTGGAGTATAGGAGCGGAGCAAGAGAGTAGTGAGGGATGAAGAGAGAGAGAGGCTGCAAGCTCGCGGCGACCCACTGACCCGCTCGATAACGCACGGCGCGGCGGCGGCGGCAGTAGCGGCGGCGGTGGAACTGCTACCACCCCCAGGTCACTGAACCTTCCTCTAAGCGTGGGAGGATGCGCGCTCGCGGTACCGTCGACTCCGCTCTGTGCTGCTGCACACTACTCTCGTATAGATGTATATATATATTTACGTGAATGTGTATGTGTGTGTGTATGCGCGCGCCCCGCCCCTCATCAATAGCTATATATACGTACACACTGGTACACGTGCAAAAGTGTGTGTGTGTGTGTGCGTGCTGTGGTGGTATACGTCACACTCGATAGCTATGATTTTTTTTTTTTCGACGATTACATTTTTTGGCAACCGATAAAAAGCCTCCATATATATTATATACGAGTGTGGCTGGTGCAGCTCCCTACTCTCGCCACCGCGCCTATATCCTCGCCCAGATTAAGCTCGTGTACTTTACCCGGAACATGAAAATGGACGTGTGTGTGTGTGTGTGTGTGTGTGTGTGCGAGCGGGCACGGATGCAATCGTATGATTTATCGCCCAGAGACAAGATTGCTCGCTCCATGTTTACCCGCTCGAGACGGAGAGAGTGAGAGCGAGAGATATGGAGAGAGATTGAGTTGTAGACAAGCTAATTTGTCGCGCGTGTGTATAGAGAGGAGGAGAGGTGTGAAAGCGCGACGTCGTTACTCGACGCATTGTTCGAATTCAATTTGATCATTTGGCCACATGTAGAGAGGCTAAATAAGCAACGCGCGCGCCGGAGCCTGCTTTGAATATCAATGCGTCGAGTATACAATGCGGAAAATATTTCAGCGACGAGCGCAGTCGCGTTTGTTTGTTTACATACATAGTGTACCGCGCGGCTGCCGCTGCCATGTAGCTCGAGTCCTCTTCAAAATTGTGGATCTTTTACCGATAAATTGCGCGACGCTGCGCTACACTCGATACGGCCCATAAATATCAAATTCTCCAAATGTCTCGAGGATATGATCGATATAATTGAATTTCCATGGGGGAGAAAAGCGTAATACGGACGATACGCGCGCGCGGATAAATTAGTTAAAGCTGACACTGTTGTAGGCTGGCAGTGCAGTAACCGCGTGCAAAAGAGTAATGGATCAACGGGGGGTCGGCTTTGCGGAGAGGGAAGAGGAGGAGGCGGCTAGAAATGAGACACTTTCCCCCCAGCGATGTTGCCGCTGGCGAATAGCCTACAGAAAGAGAGGACGCCTATATAGGACTCAATCTGACCGCGATCTAGCGGTGCTCGGCCGCAGAGATGGTTTCCGTTGATGAGAGAAGACTAGTAGTGGCTCGACCGTGTATACCACGATATACCTATGTATCTAAAAAATATGGTCTTCGCGGATGTATCGAGCTTGCGCGCCCGCGCCCGAGAGCTTGCAGCTACCTCGGAATTGCATCTCGCTGTCCTAGTTCATGAATTTTTCTTCTCCCTTCTTTGGTGCACATTGAAAAATTTGTTCAAAGTATCGATTGGCCGTGTCGTCGACGTCGTCGCTTAATTAATATTGCCAATCCTTTGCTTGCTTCCAGCAACTTTTTCTCTTTCTCCTCGTCCCCTCATCGAACAAAATTTATTGAAAATTAATGATAATCGTGAAAGTTGCGCGCGGAGCTTGAAAAACTTTTGCCGAGTTTTCGTATCGAACGCCAATTCGGTACCGGGCGTATAATAATATTTGAAGCGAAGAAATCACATTCCAGTCGAAAGGAATGCCCGTATAATGCGTCGACGACAAAAATGAACGAAAAAAATGTTGTCAATAGCATTAGCGAAGAAGAAAATATTTGTGCTGAGGCAGGGAAGACTGATTTTTTTAAATCAGTATTTATTTTCCAAGTTTACTTTATGTATTTTCTTTTTTGTTTGTCAACGTGAATCGCTGTTATCATCAGGCAATCTTTACACCCCTCTCGAAATTCGCGATCTGCTTCAATACGCAGAGTACTTCAACAACTTCTAGACTTCAACTTCTCTCTCTCCATCTCTCTCAAGAGATACGATATATCGAGATCGCGACGTCGATCTACATAGCGTGTGCAATCACAGCTAATCATCGCACTCTCGCAATAATTTTCCAATTTTAGAGCGGGTAAAAAAATTTTCCCAATATTGGCTTATTATCCCCGCGTATCACCTTTCTGCAACAGTGAACAACATTAATACATGTACCACTTCTATGTGTGTATATTAAACGACGTGCTGCTGCGCTGCTCAATGTCGGCGCTGCAACACACGCACGCATTTCACTGTACGCCGAATATTGATTATTCGCGCGACGAAAAGAGAGAGAGAGAGAGAGAGAGAGGGTAGGGGGTGTCGGCGGCAGCGGCAGCGAAGGCGTCAGTGCTGCCACTGAGCTGCGCGTCTACGAACTATGGGGGGGCTACAACACGCATATCTCCCTACTAGGCACCCCCCCCCCCCCCCCNNNCCCCCCCCCCCCCCCCTGGTGCGGACAAAAGCGACTGTACTTGTGTGTTATAGTGGGTACGGGGTTGAAAGTTCGATGCATGTACTTTTGTACGTAATTCGATTTTTGAGCCGGGGGAGTTGGCGCTTAAAGATCGCGACAGCAGTTGAATATACGAATACGAACGAAAAAGATCTCGCTCTTACATAAATAAATAAATAAAATAAAGAAAGAAACATCGTTGATAGCGAGTGAAAAATATTTTTCCTCGTTATATAGCTGGGTAAGATTAACACCGCTGCTGAATTTTACTTTTCAACACCTTTTCATTTGCGGGCCGAACATACACACACTCGTTAAATACATACGGAACAAAGTTGCTCTCGGCTCCTATATAATCGTACAGGCGCATGCAAAACAAACTTTCGCGAGAAGTTCGTTTGTTTCCTGCACCTATACACTATATGCTATATAGTTTTGTTCCACGGCTCCATACACACATAATAAACACACGTTATTTAAAGCGCATCGAGTCGCACGCCAGGTCTTGCATGGGAGCCCGGAGCGTGCGACTCTTTAAGCATGAAACTTAATGCAGCGTGAAAATAATTATTGTCCTCCTCCGCGCGACTGCTACGGCTGAGGCCTGTGACGGCGACGACGTGTATTTTGTATGGGTATATAAAAAAATGAAGATAAAAAAAAGATCCCCCCGCGGGCTTGTGTAATACACCGTATCAGCTCTCGAAAAACCTCGTCTTACACGAACCGAAGACACACTGCGCGCGATGATAATAGGGTTTCTTAACGCAGAGGAGAGGATACGACCACGATATAATATTATATTTGTTGCGACTCAGCAGATCTCAATTTAACATTGATAAAACTACTGTATGCATTATATACGTTGTATACGACGGGCTGCGCTTGACAGTTCGTCGACCCTTTGTTCGATACGTATATATACTTTTTCTCTGTCTTCTACGTTTTTTTCTTACTAAGCTTCGACCAACTGTTGGTTAACGACTTTTTGAACGTATATATATAGCGAGAGCCGAAGCTATTGTTCTTTTAAAGCTAATACCACCTTCGAGACGTCGTTGTCGTCGTCGTCGTCGGTGGCTACGACGACGGACCTCGAGAGATGAAGTGCAAATCGTTTCGTCGATATGTTAGGTATACGTATATATACTTGGGCCAGGCTTACTTGGGTTACTTGGCTGCAGTAACAGTTCAAACATCGTCGTCCACCGATTTCTTTTCATAATAAATGATTCGAAGAATTCATTCGCATTGTCGCGACTATAAAGGTGAACGTAAATTATCTTGACCGAACTCAAGGTTCGTTGAGCATTATGCATATTATAATAAAGTATTCATGCTAACTATATTAAATTATGATTTAATGATATTTTAATTATTCAAATGGAGTTAAAAATGTATATTTGATTATCAAAATTGATGCTGAAATGGTTGAAAAAAGTTAAACGTACACCTAGTAGTATATCATAATAATGGGTAGTGCTTTTCACTCGGTAAATGCTCTACCATCGATAAAAAGTTTCGAGGAAAGCCAACGCTACACACACATCAAGTCGATGGCAATTACTGCGATGGATCAATCTCGTCTCTCCTCTATATGCTGTAGGCTTGATATGCGCGGCAGCATATCGCGCTTGCATTGAGCCACCGCAGTAAATCAAACTTCTAAAGATTCATGAGCGAGTAATCTACCGTCGGTACACAGCATCCTCTCTGCTGCTCTCGTCTATATCTCGACGGGTAGTAGATACACCCGCTCTCTCTTACTCTCTTGGCTCTAGCTTGGATTATCGATTTTATATACTTCAGCACATAAAATGACGATCGCCGGGGGATAAATTGGGGATGATTTTTTCTTTATTATCATCGTATATCGACGCAATATTGTGAATGTTTTTATTTGTAAAATATCGAAAAAATAATCAACGACAATGATAATAAACGTGATGGATACTCACTTTGCATTTTTTGGTACATTGCTGTTTCTCCGTGCCAAATGCATTGGCACGAGCGAGAGATGCTGATTGTTGGAGTTCTGAGGCACGAGCGGCTGCCTGGCGTGCGCCGGCGACGTGTGTGATCCGTAGCCGTCCGAATTCAACTGCGTGGAACGAAACGAGAAAAAAGAGTATGAGCGTGAATTTATGTGTACGTTACAGTGGTATAAATTACACACGCGTTGGAGCCAAAAAGTTTTTTTTTGCCCTTTTTTATTTATTTTTTTCGTATTTTTTCTTTTACTGCCTTAATGGAAATGTATACGTCGTTAGGTAACTTTCGGGGAATTGTGAATTTTTCGCGATATTTCGTTAAATTAGAGTTAATCCGCGAGTTGCGCAAAAATATTACACGGGTATTACGTAATGAAAGCCCGAAAGTGCAGCTGCAGGGGGTGGTGGTGTACGTACACGTAGTTTAATATAAAAAAGTGAAGCGACCCGTATAAATGTATTAGAAGATTGAAGTTTGAAAAAAGAAAGAGAGAGAAAAAGACAGACACACACACACATGTACACACAGGACACGCGTCTCCGTGCATAAGCATTTTTATGAATTTATGAATTCGCAAGCGCATCGGCGAGTCGAAAGTTTTCAAGTTATTTGAATACGAGGCGACTTTACTTTGTAAATGTGTATACTAAATGGGCACCAGTCGGAGCTAGAAAGAGAGAGAAGTTGAACAAAATGCAGAAGCTCAAAACGTATTTTAAAAGATAAAAGGTGTGCCGTTTTCATTCAATTATGTAACATCCCAGTAAAGAGACGTTTACTAAAATTTTCATACACCGTGTGCGTGAAAAAAGTGAAAAAATAAATAAATAAATTCAAACTACTCTCTCTCTCTCTCTCTTTTCCAACGGTAGCAATGACAAAAGCTATATAGATAAATCCACGCTCAAACACACCCGGGCTTTCTTTAAGAGGCGTGTACTATCGCACACACGTCCTTTTCCGCATACCCGAGAGATAAGCGTATACGTGGGCAGTTTTTTCGACGTTCTCGAGATCGTATGCGCGACGTAGTCCGCCCTTTTGTCTCCCGGTAGTAGAAAGATATAACGCTGTTCTCAATATATCAAGAGGTGCGGTAGCACCTAGCCGGCAAAGTATAAAAAAAAATTATAAAAAAATAATTTTAAAAAAAAAATTTATTTAAAAAGAAAAAATTTGTTAGAATTTGAAAAAAAAATCGTATATATGCAGAGGAAAAACTGCAGCGCGTGTCCGTTTTTTTCCTCCCAGTCTTCTTTCCCTCGAGTGGACTCTGGGTATCGACGCGTTATATTGCTCACACGTACAAACGCGGAACTCTTCTATCTCTCGTCTGTCTGAGATATACATATTTGCGCGCGGAGCTCGATTTACAAAAGATTCGATTTCAAATTTATACTAATATAATATAATATTATATAATGAAAAAAAGTATTGCGTCGCTTCAAGGATGACGTGCGGAGACGACCTTTTCTAAATGACTTCTCACGATAATTACACGTGATAAATGTTTTGCTTAACTCATAATTAAACTTCTCGAGTGAGAGATTCTCACTTGTAAACAAACAAGAGCATGCTCGAGTTCCTTCGTATACTTAAGATATACTTTTTTATTTAGAAAATGCGCATGTATACATTCGTACAATTGAATGGTAGCCTGCGACAAAATTTTCCAAACTCACGTCAGTTCGTCTCTATACGATATGTGCACGCACGAACGGTTTAGTTTATGCACATGCGTAGAAACAATGATAACAATAAGATGGTAAGCGCGCGCGGCTATGGGCTGCAGTCGAAGCACGTGCCCATTCGTTAACGCGTCTGCTGCGGCATGCGCTACGACGACGACTCGCGAGTGCGAGCGTATAATATAATATTATTCAAGGTGTGCGTTTTTCACGAGAGAGAACTCGTTTCTCCGTGCGATATATTATATGCACTCTCACATTAGGAACTCGATCTACTCTCGTCTCGCACACATACACAGACGCGCATTGACACATAGAGTCCGTAGCGTGTGCGCGAGCGCGAGCTGGCGTGACGTTTATATAGCTGCAGTTGTACGCGCGAGTTCCTTTGACACGCATATTACGTCCCGTTATTATATACACACATAAACACTCGTGGCAGACACAGTCTAGGCACACACACACACACACACACATACGCATATCCATTACATACTTGTATAGGTACGCGTGTACTTATACATACGAGTCGAAAGATTTTCTCGATTTGTCACCGGAGCGTATCGTAGCTTCTCTTTCTATCTCACTCTCTTTCTTTTTCTCCTGCAAGTTAATTGATGCTCTGCTTTCTGCAATCACAGACGGTGCGTGACACGCTTGCGTCTTATATGGGCATATATTACGTTTTTTCTCGTACCTACGTACGTGCACCGACTGCCGCCGCTCTGTTTTTTTCTTTCGTTTTTGTTGCTGTCCTAGTCAAGGGGATAATTACTCATTCGAACGGATTTCTATATTTACGTACTATACACGAGAGTATTTACAGGTAGCTCTCGCGTGACAGCTGCTCCTGCGAAATCGGCATCGTTTATGCCGTTAATTGAATGGAAGTTTGTGTTATTTCATTATAATATTAGTTAATGATTTCGTGGATTATTTCTCTCTTTTATATCATCTCTCGTTATCGATCGGACTTGTCGTAGACGTAGATTTAATTTTTTTTTTTTTACTATCATTAATAATTAATATTATAAATAATGTAAATGTGTGGCGTGTTGCGTGTAAGTAAATCGACGATGAAGATGATGTTTGTTAAGACGGCGTCTCTCTCTTATTGTTTGTGTATACCTTGACGACGGTACCGATGAGCGAGTCGGGCGGCATTTCCGGCGGCTCGGGTATTCCACCCGGTCCGTTACTGTTGGCTTTGACGGAATTCTTGCGACTATTGTTTTGCATGGCGGCTGTCGCCGAGGCGATACTGGAGCTGTCTTTATTGTTGGCGAGCGTCGTGACGTTGGCCGTCGTCGTCTCGTTGTCGAGGCTGTCGTTCGGCGTTGGCTGCGACAGCAGGCGCTCCTTCATCTCGCTCAGATACGGGCAGCGCTGCATCTCCGCGCTTGGCTCGCGACGCGACACGACGCGGAATCCCTTGCTGCGATCTGTGAAGAGAAAAACAGGCGAAATTTGCTTTTTGTTTGTTTTGTTTCTCTGGCTTACTGCGGGGTTCGGTAATGACGTTTAATTACACACACACATACGCACACAGTCACTCATATAATACACGCTTCAATGTGTTTTGGAGTACATAGTTAGGTATTATTCACAGTTGTTTTAGCAGGTTCTGTTTTCATACGAAACATGAGTGCAGCGGATTTAGTATGGTACATCAGGAGTAAGGAAAGGATTAGTCAAGAAGGATAAACAAGAAATGACGTTTCAGAAGTCTAGTGAATAGTTCTTCAGAAAAATAATTACAACTTTTGTTAACAATCAATTGAAAATCTCTTCAGACGGCTATCGTAACCCAAAATCTGAACTTGCTTCGAAAATTAGATATACCTGGAAGTGAAAATACTTCCAGTGCAGAGCGCAACGTCGGTTGACCCAATTACCAATTCGGACACGGCATTGAGCGTCTGACCAAACTTATCCGTAACTACTGAATCGAATGAATCTGTACGATCTCAAATATATACGATCATCACTTGTTGCATATTTTTAATAAGCCATCGATCCATCACCTACTTACACGCTCGATCTAACACAATCGATGACGACGACGACGACCGGCAACGATGAGACTGACTGCTCGCGGACGTTTATATTACTGCAGGCCACCAATAACAATAACAAAATAACAATCATAAGCCTTCGAAGTTATTGGCCCGTACGACGCATTACGCATAATGTAATCTTAGATTCGCGGAACTCTAATGCGTGCACTCGCTTATAGGTAGGTGGTATTATGCTTAACAGTCGACTAGCCGTGCCACGCGCGCGCGGAAGTGCAAATTGTGTGCGGCGCAGCAGTCATTGGCGGCTTGTAACCGATGGATCGTGTTCGCGCGACGGAATTCAGCCGCGCACTGAACGTTTTCGTCCCGTAACGAAGGATTTTTATATTCATTATTGTTAATATCAACGGTCGTCACAATGGGCTCGACGAAATATCGAGCGTGTTTCAATTTTGTAAAATGGTGACATCGATCAACGGGGCAACAACAACAACAATAGCGGTGCAACACATGTTGGCCGAGCATTTGACAAGCTTCCTCGTTACGGAAAGTAGGTGTTCCGGATATTGCTGCGGGCATGACAATATTAACGAACTGGGCCACATATTGGCCGTTATCTTCATAGAAATGAAAAAAAAAAAGGCAGAAAAGAGTACGTTTTTCATAGTGGATGCGCGACGAAACATATGCTCGAATAGTTTTTGTCATTCTAGGGTCGTTATTGGGCGATCGATTAAAATGGAATCTTTCAAAAGATGGCAAAAGACGAAAGACCTCAACTGTCTCAAATTGGCGGGAAAATGCGCAAAGGTCGTGGCAGTAAAAGTCACAACACAAATACGCAGACAAAAACAGCCCGTAAAGATAAAATGTCAACAGAGTATAAAGAGAAAGTTCGAAACGGAGACAACAGGAGAACATGCATACTGTATCGTTTGTCGCTGGACAACCAGGAGCGAAACCACGCCTTGACACGGCTGCGTGAATTCGGCGTCGACGCCGGCACAATGCGCGAGGAACCACCGCCGCCGCGGCTGCCGTAGACGCCGGCCGGCCTCGTCGTGGGCGACAACATCCTCGGCGCCGTCGCAGTGCAGACCCTGCCCGTCGCACCAACACCACCACCACCAGCACCGCGACGACTCATGTTATTTTCACTCGTATTATTATACTTATGCACACATGTAAAAAATGACACGCATGTCTGCGCAGAGGGTTCACGTATAAAAAGGCGCGCACACTCGCGGTACTATCGAACGCACTTTTTGAAAACGCAAAAAATTCGACACTATTCGACGACCGTTTACACAGGATATCACGCAAGTGCGAGAGAAAACGCGCGGGCTTATACGCGCGCCTCGCGAACTGGCTATAACGCACTGGGCGATGCGGCTAGTCTCGCGTGTGCTCGGGCTTGCGTTATGTATACTATACTACTGCAGCAGCAGCAGCAGCTCGCCGCGCGCGTCCCGTGTGTAAGTGTGTGTGTATGTTTATGCGGGCAATAACACTGCACACTGACGGACGACCAAGACGTGTGCTATATATATGTGTGCTGCACACGAGTGTAAGAGTTTCTTTCGCGCGCTCCGAACTCTACCTACTACCACTACTCAGAAGTCAGAGTCGTGTCTAGGCTAAGGAGTCGGCTTACGTTGCAAGAAGATCGAGAGATCGACGCGTGTGTTCGCGGTGTGTGTGTACGTGAGTGTGTTTGTGTTTGTGCGAAATGTGTATGCAGTCTTCTACGTGGCTGCGTATTTTTTTGTCTTAAAAAAGAGATGGTGCAGTGCGACACGGTGAATTCTCGTATTTTACGACCGATCGATGCGATAATACGTGTGTATATGGAGTTATGAGGAGTTTTTCTTCGTTTACGGCTGTAATAAGCGTCTTCTCCCCTGTCTGTGAAGACTCCACCGCACTGATACGTCTTCCTGTCGCGAGCTTACGATAATCACTCTCTCCTCGCGGACGGAAGAAATTCGTAATTTCTATATATTTGCTAGGTAAACGTTATCGGTCGTTATTCAGGATTCGATTACTGGCGTTATACGTGAAATATTCTAATTTCAACCGGTCGATTAGAACGTGATTTGAATTCGTCGACGGTTAAGATATAACGCATCGCGCTAAACAGTTCGAACTTTGGTTTAGCTTACGTGGATGACAGTTAGAAACTCAATCGCGTTTTTGTTCAAATTTATTAGTTTAAAAGTTTTAATTCAAACAATAACTGTATATGAAAGATCGATCTTACCATAATTGCTTGATAATGTTCGTTGACACAAAATCAATAAATTCTCGAGTCTATATAGACTTGAAAAAAATCTCCGGAGCTGGGAGCACAACGTGAACGATCAACAATGCCGATTCGAAAAAATAACCGTTGACACCTGTAATTCGTTTCGCCAACAACACAGTCACTTTAACAGTATAACTCTTGTATTTGCTCCACGCGAATAGTTTTTCTCAACTGTCCATTCGTATTCAATCGTCTAATCGTTCTGTAAATACTTTCGAAAGACAAAAAAAAAACGGTAGCTCCGAAGCAACGTGCGTGGAAAGCGATGGAAGACGTATTAGTATATGTGAAACGATCGTCGTCAAGCCGTCGTCGTCGCGTGTGTGGTGGTATAAAAACAAACGACGACGTCTCGCAAGAAGTCGTCGGCATTATATGCGGAAGAAGCATAAATCGAAGGTGCAGCACATGTGCAGTTAGTATGTGTAGAAGAGGATCGAGCGCCGCAGCTGCTGCCAACAAGGTAGGGAAAACGAGATGGAGTTTTTCGCCGCGAGGCGGCGCCTCGCGCCAGTGCAGTTGTGCAATGTAGTTCGAGCCGGCATCGTATGGATGTCGCTGGCGACGCGATAACTCGCCACCGATGCAGTTTTAAAATGTTTCGCTATTGCTGATTTCGCTATTGTATATTTATTTATTTATTAAAAAATATTAAAAATAAGATAAATCCGTTTATCAATCTTGAGACTCGATAGATTATTTTGAATCATTTGCTTCGGTATAGCAACGTAAAGCAATTGCCTCGGCAATGAAAAACACTCCAATTTCATTTTCTTACGCCCGGTAACCAACTCACTGCAACTGCAAACATTATCCAGAATGAAAAATGAAAAAAAAGCGTATTGAAGAAGTAAGTACTTGGTAAAACGAGGTCAATGCGAGGCAATCGAACATCTCATGTCGGAACTCATTGAAGCGTGGAAAAGCGCAAAAAACCCGAAGCGTCGACGTAACGTATGTAAGAAGCCTCGTGAAGTGCCCAATGACCTATACGACCATTTTTTTTTCTTTTTTTTTACACTGCTCACACATGCTAGATACACAAACACAATAGCACGAAGCTCGAAGTCTCGGCACAGACGTTAATTAAAACAGCCGCTTCTAATACCGTAATATACGTATATGTGCGCAAGCAACAGTGAGTAATTATCAGTGAGCTTTTACCAGACGTTTTGTTCTATATTATTAACGAAAAGTAAATCGAACGGGCATTAATTTAAAGTGAAAAGCTGTTAAATTACTTTGCGTTTACACACTTCGAAACTAATCGTATGATATTTCGCGGTATTTGTAGGTATAGCTATAATAATGTGCAATACCGTAAATTATGTACTTGTTCACGAACACGCGTAATTATGCGATGCAGCGAGGACGAGTCTGCGTGTAAATTTTCGTGTGCGGTTTCGAGTCTCGCGATACCCGCGGCTAAGTGAGCAAATACACGTCGAAATGAAATGACAAAAAAGAACGGTTAGTAAATGAGTTTGTTAGCTTGTTATTAATGTCATTTTCAGAAATGACGAATGCCAAATTGCAGATGCGATGCGATCGTCGCCCGACACTAGTCACCGCACGTGCACAGTCAACGAGTCATTTGAATATAATGCACATACACAATTATCACACGCGTGAAGCGATAAATTAGTTAAGGGGATTGATGATTTTAATGAATAATTGGACGGTTTTTTAAATAATTTTCTTTTCTTTTGGTAAAAAATTTGCTACTTTCATCGAACGCGTCGTTGCACACTTACATAATTTTATTTTCTATCCCCACGGCACCCAGCGAATTTCGGTCGTTAAAAATCTTTGCGGCTTTTCTGGGCTGCGCTATATAAATAAAAAGAAAAAAAAATACCTGCCGAGTGACACGTATACCTGCAGCATATGTATCATACTTTATACACGAACTTGAATAGAAGAGCCGAGAGATAGAGAATAACAAAAAAAGAGCAACGCTCGTCGTGCGGTCTCTAAGCTTTTAGCGCGTACACGGCACCACACGACTTTTCCCTGCCGCGCGCGCGCATTTACCACTCGTGGGCTCTTTTGTGCTTTTCTTTTCTTCATCTCTCTCTATCTTTCTTTATTTCCATTTTTTTGTTCTTTTTATTTCTTT